CCGACCACCCTACCGACCACCCCTTCCCTGGCTGTTTCTCCGCAGCGGCTGCTGCCTCTCGCACACGGTGTACTGGGCCCTTCTACTCTGCTCGCTATGGAAATCCCAAGAGGTGGGGATTAAAAACCCACTTTCTTTTTACTTTCCCATGTGGTCAGGTACATAGAAATAAAACCTCCCATCACAACTATTCCTCCGTGCACAGCTTAGCGGTAAGTTCACTCACAGGCTGTGCAACCGTCACCACCACCATCTCCAGAACTTCCCATCTCCCCAGCTGAGCGTCTGTCCCCATTAAACACTCCCCGCCCAGCCCCTGGCCCCTCCACCCGTCTCTCTGAACGTGACTCCTCCGGGCCTCGGGTAGGCGAGTCACACAGTGTGCGTCCTCTGCACACAGTGTCCATGTTTCATGTGTCAGAGCTCCGTTCCCCTGAAAGCAGGGAGAGGGGGACATCGGCCGCGGGATGGACAAGGCCCCTGAAATCATTTGCTCTGGCGGTGGGCGGGAGGAGAGGAGCGGGATGGACAAGGCCCCTGAAATCATTTGCTCTGGCCCTGCTGAGGCGTGAGGGGCGAGTGGTTAAATGCTTGACTAACGGAGCAGGCAAATGTTTCAGCTGGCGATTTTGTGTGGCCCGAGAATGATGTGCTACACATCCAACGGCCCTGGAAAACAGGGTCCCCCCTACCCTCCCACCTCAGGGGTGACAACCATCCCACTGCATGGATGGGCCCGCTCCGCTGGCTCCTGGCCCATCCGTGGGCACTGGGGTGGCCGCGGAACGTGGGTGGGTGAGCACCTGCCCGGCCCTGCTGTGGCCAGGAGTGGGTTGCGGGGTCCCTGGAGGTGGTGTGAATTTTGGGGGCCCTCCATCGTGTTTCCCGCAGCGGCCACACCATCCCGTTCCCACGGCGAGCTGCGGGGTCTGCTCTGGATGAGGGCCACCTGGGGTGTGTGAAGTGGTCAGGTGGGGGCTCTGGTCTCATCTGCTCCCTCAGGGGTCCCCTAGGTCCTGGCACTTAACAGGCGCCCCCCAAACATCTGGTGACAGAGTGCAGTGGCCTCAGCTCTCCGTCTCGGTCTCGGTCGTGTGCGAGGAGAGGTGGGGTCAGAGGTGATGCATGTCCCCGCCGGGCCCCAAACCTCAGCGTCATCCCGACTCCTCTCCTCTCATCCCCACCCCCAGCCTTCGACAAACTGCACACGCCCTGGCCTCACCTCCCGCCAGACGGCCCGGCCCGGCTGCTCTGGGTGGGAGCCCCAGAGGCTTGGTGGTGGGGCGGGAGGAGAGGGGGTGCTCTAGGGCGCCCGGGGGTCTCGGAGCCCTACCTGAACCTCTTGATGTTCTTCTCCGACACCCGGATGAAGAGCACGATGGGGTAGATCCTGGACTTGATCAGGTCTCGCGTGCAGCTGATGCTGGCCTCCAGCAGGCAATGCTTGTTCTGCAGGCACAGCCCCCAAGTCAGCAGCGGCCCACCGGCTCCTCCCCAGCTAGTGAGGGGCCTGGGCGGGGCCTGGGGTGTGGGAGTGGCCTGAGACACAGGGGGCGGGGCCTGAGATGCAGGGGTGGGGCCTGGGATGTGGGGCGGGGCCTGGGATGTGGGGCAGGGCCTAGGATGCAGGTGTGGCCTGAGATGCAGGGGTGGGGCCTGACATGTGGGGGGCGGGGCCTAGGATGCAGGGGCGGGGCCTGGGATGCAGACCAGGCTGAGAGCCCAGAGTGCCAGGGGCTGAACCAAGGCAGAACCAGGAATGATCCACAGCGAAACCCAGCCTCCTCTGGCCATGCCTGGAGAAGGCACTGGGGGCCCAGGCACCGGGGCCCAGGTGACCCTGGCGGCCTGAGTGAGTCTTAAAGTCAAAGGGGCACCAGGACTGCCAGCTGCGCCAGGCGCCG